CAGTAGATAGTTGTATGTCATAGTTGCACATCCTTCTAGTTGCTGTATGTGGGATGCGGCCTCAGCATGGCCGGAGAAGCAGTGCGTCGGTGCGCGCCCGGGATCTGAACCCGGGCTGCCAGCATCGGAGCGCACGCACTTAACCGCTAAGCCACGGGGCCGGCCTGCTCTTGCCACTTTAAAATTTTTAAAAAATAATGAAAAACTGGAGTCTATTTGTATTCAAGCCATCCTACTTCAGACACAAAGCCCTCTGCAAAATGTTTCCACGTCCAGACAGACTGAGTCAGCACCTGTTCCATAATGTTGTTAACTGGGGTGGAAAAATGGTCAGCTGAAATGTTTACTTTGTTTATTCTAAATACTTAGTAATAAAGCTCACACACTGTTACAATAAATTCGAAATTGCTGTATTGTCTTTTTTTTTTTTTTTTTTTGAGGAAGATCAGCCCTGTGCTGACATCTGCCAATCCTCTCTTTTTGCTGAGGAAGACTGGCCCTGGGCTAACATCTGTGCCCATCTTCCTCCACTTTATATGGGACGCTGCCACAGCATGGCTTGCTAAGCGGTGTGTCAGTGCACGCGTGGGATCCGAACCAGGGAATCCTGGGCCACCGCAGCAGAGCGTGCACATCACACTTAACCACTTGCACCACCGGGCCGGCCCCTGTATTGTCATTTTGATGATTCAGGATTTTAGTGTATCGAGTAATATTTGAAGTAAGTGGACCCCAGCTAAAGCTGGGGAAATCTGGTACTGCAAGGTCTGGGGGGTCTGAAAACCTAGATTCTGGATCCAGCTCTGCCCACACTGGGTAACCTGAGGCTAAGAAAATGTAAAAAGAAGGGCTTGGAGTAGAAAACATCTGAGGTCCATTCCAGTTCTGATATGCGTGCATCTTTTCTAAGTTTTGTTTAGGCGTCCTGTTTTATACATATTCTAGAAGTGTATTGTCCAATACAGCAGCCATCAACCACATGTGGCATTGAGCATTTGAAACGACTAGTCCAAATTGAGATGTGCTGTGTGAAATATGTAGACTAGAATTCAAGGACCTAGTACCAAAAAAAGAAGTAAAATATCTCATTAATAATTTTGTATATTGATCACATGTTGAAATAATACTTTGGATATATTGAGTTAAATGAAATCTGTTATTAAAATTAATTTCACCTGTTTCTTCTTTTTTTAACTTTTTAAAAATGTATATTAAAAAATTTTAAATTATGTGTGTGGCTTACACTTGTGGCTCACATCACATTACATTTCTATTGGACAGCACAGTCGAGAGAAAGCCAAGCTTCCTGTCCTAAACATATTAGGTGCAAAGATTTTAAAAGACATAAACAGAAATTTATAAACAAATGTAAACATTTATCAGCTTCTTTTATATTTTTTAATGTAAGAAAGGTTAAATAAGAAACGCTTTTGTGAGGCATCTGAACTACCATGGTGCTTTTTTCTTTATTTTTTAATTACAGAATAATACATGCTCAATATAGAAATATTTAAACAGTACAGCAGCGTGTAAACTAGAAATTGAAAATTCTTCTCTGATCAGCCTCTCTCAGTTCTACTGCTGTGAAGTACCCAATGTTAACAGTTTCAGGTGTATGTTTCCAGACTACTTTTCTGGGAATAAGTCGATTTTGTTTTTGTTTTTCGTTTTGGTTAAAAATATATTGTACCCAAATATATTACTGTATAACTTGCTTTTTAATCTTATGGTATATCTTGGACATTCTGTGTCAGTAAATACAGGTTTTTTTCCTAAAATTTTCAGCAGTGTTCAGTTATAAATATATGCTTACATAAATATTAGAAAGATGGAATATACTATAAACATATTGTTTTGTAATTCTTCACTTAACAGTGTTTCTGGAAGGTTATTTTGAAGTGAAAAATCAATTTAGAAATATTTTAAATAGTGAATTTTTAGTTTAATTGAAAATTTATTTTTTCCTACAAAAGATCAAAAGATCCAAATGGATATTTTGATGCATAAATGATTTGTCATGATAGCATGAAGCTTGGGTTGAGTGCCATATACAATTTGTTGTATGCATAAAAATGTAAAAACTTTAAAACTACTTAGTGGGGCAGTAATTTACTCAGATGCCAAAAAGAATTGACTTAATTTTTGAAGTGCTTATCTTCTCTTAATGAGCAGCTTATATGTGGAAAATGAAACATTTTAAACTAAAATTAATACATGTTTTATTTCTTTGGGTTTTTTTTTTAAAACCCAGAAAAAAACTTGGAATTTATTAACTTTTAAAATATGATTGATTAATCTTTTTAACACATTCTAAAACAATCAAATGATTAAAAGGTACTATCCTGTAGCTTAAAGGAAATAAATAAGTGGCTCAAATGTAGTCTGTTTGGAATCATGCCCATAAATTAGCAGTAGATTGATCCAAATACCTTATCAATTCAATGCCACATATTTGTGTGGTTACTGGAATGAGGTGAATGTTTTACTTCCAAAAGGGAAAAAAGTCTGGATAGAGTTAACTACACAGTAATTTAAGTGTTCTGTTCAGCAAAAGACACCATAAATAAAGTTTAAAGCTAAATGACAAACTGAGACAAAGCATGATAGTTGCAACACATACAGCAAATCCAAGTTAATATCCATCATATATAAAGAGCATATATAAGTTAATTAGAAAAGAGAAATATAGAAAATGGTCAAAGACACAAAAGATTTTTTCATAGAAAAGTGTTGTGCAAATGATTAATAAAACATGAAAAGATGCTTAATTAGCCTCATATACAAACAAGCTAAAATGAAAACATTTTTTTCTATCAAATGGAGATTTATCATTTGCAGTGTTGGTGAGGACATGAAGAAATGGGAAAGCATAGTTGATAGAAATTACCTTTTGTGTGTGTGTGTGTGTGTGTGTGAGAGGAAGATCAGCTCTGAGCTAACATCTGCCAATCCTTCTCTCTTTTTTTTTGCTGAGGAAGACTGGCCCTGGGCTAACATCTGTGCCCATCTTCCTCCACTTTATTTGGGATGCCGCCGCAGCATGGCTTGACAAGCGGTGCATCGGTGCGCACCTGGGATCCAAACCTGCGAACCCTGGGCCGCAGAAGCGGCACATGCGCACTTAACCGCTATGCCACTGGGCCGGCCCCGAAATTACCTTTTTTGAAGGGCATTTTTGTATTATATGTAACTTCCAATTTTTAATCAAAATGAATACATACTTATGATTTAAAAAGTCATTTCGTGCTAAAAGTTCATGACAGAAATAAGCAATTCTCTGTATTCCCCAAGCCTACTTCCAAAGGCAACCACTTGAAACTCTTGTAGCTTTTTCTTCTGATATTACTCCCATGGTTCCACATGATAGAGGTATGGAGTTCTCTCTTAATTCCTCAGTTTCGGACATTGTAGGTTGATTTCTCACTTTGTTGGATGAGTAATTTCTCTCCTGGCCCTCTCTCCCTCCCCTCATACTTTGAATACGGTTATGTTACTCTCTGGAGTAGAAGTAGATTTTTCTTTTTGTTATATGCAGTATGGTTTAGTTTAAGCTGTATTAATAGTACCCATGTGCAGATTCACTAAAGCATTTCTAATAATTAGAGAATTCCTAATTTAAGTTGAATAGGTAAAATTCTCTAAAAGGTCTGGCATCTCTATAGCCTCCCTTTTTGAAATTTAATTGACACTTTAATCTTACTTACTAAAATTGTCCTGCAACTGTCATCTGATGTGATCTTGAGGTCCACTGAAAAATTAATTTTCAACACTCCATAAATCCATTTATTCTAAATTTAGGTTTTAAGCACAGTTAAGAAAGTAATTATTACTACTAGAATTCACCTGATAAACCATGTGTAACATAACTTATTGCAGAATGGCATTAAATGTCATCAATTAAAAATGTATTCCTTGGGGCCGGCCCCGTGGCTTGGTGGTTGAGTGAGCGCGCTCCACTGCTGGCGACCCGGGTTCGGATCCCGGGCTCACACCGACGCGCTGCTTCTCCGGCCACGCTGAGGCCGCGTCCCACATACAGCAACTAGAAGGATGTGCAGCTACGACACACAACTATCTACTGGGGCTTTGGGGGGAAAAAATAAAT